AACAGAGTGTGGGCGAGCCCTCGGGCCCTGCGGTTTCCGGGGACCCGGGGCAGGGGCCCCACGCTGGGAGTCGCCCGCACCAGCCACAGGGCGGCCTGGCAGGCAGGTCCCTGTGGTCCGGGGTCAGAACTGCCCCGCCAGGAGCCTCTGGGGCAGGGGCAGGGACACGCCACCCCTGGACATCCGCCCACACGCCGCCCCAGACAGAGGGCAGCAGAGGGGGCCGTCCCAGGGTGGCCCCCGACCCTCGCAGCCTCACCGACAGCCCCTGCAGCGTGGCCGCCGCCGGTCAGCACACCACTCCCGCCTGGAGCAGGCCGGGCACTGGCCTCCTGCGGACGCCAGTTGGTGGATGCGCCACGGGGCCCCACGGGCAGGAGCCCAGACCCCACTGGGCGTGGCTCCCGCCCCAGGGAGGCCCGGACACTGCGTGTCTCGGACCTCAGCAGAGCAGGCCATGGTCACGCTGGCAGGTAGGCGCACCGGCCCGGGAGTGGACAGCTGAGCGCAGCGGGCAGCGGCCCACCCCTGCCTCCGGGCGCAGGGTAGCCAGCACAGTCGGCGGCTGCGTGGACACGCGTCCTGCACGCTGGCCGCGCTGGTCCCAGGGGAGCCCACCGGGGCAGGGTCCGACGCCCGCCGGCCACGGCCCCGTCAGGTGTCCTCCCGTCCCCGGCCCTGAGGCCCCCTTCGTCCGCCCCTCAGAGGGGCCCACAGGAGCTGCCGGACTCACGGCACGTCCAGAGGGCAGGCCACCGGCCCTGTCTACGCCTCGGCTACAGGACGGTGGGAGTGGCCAGTGGCTTACCGGGCCCAGGAGCCCACAGGGTCAGCGGCCAGACGCGAGGCCAGGCCGGGCCTCAGGACAAGTGGCCTGGGCCGAGGGCGCCTGCGCCTGGACACCAGCCCACGGTGGCCCCGATGCCCACTGGCCCCATCCCAGGCGCCGGGGCCCAGCTCCAGGCGCCCAAGATGGACACAGAGGGCCGCAGGTGCCCGTTAGGGGCAGCGGGCACAGCCGCCCGGGGTCGGGTGCCGGCCAGGGAGCCCTGAGCCCAGCGTGCG